ACTGAGCTACAGTCCCAGTCCAAGGAGACAGAATTGAGTTTTCCTCAGCAGAGAAACTTCAAGGAAGGGTGACATCATCAAGGAAATGACACCTAGGAAGAGAGTTGTGGGTTAGCTTTTGAGAACACCCACATCTCCCTGGTGGGCAGGGCAGAAAGAGGTCTTGAACACAAGGTAGCAGCGACCCAAGAAGCCTGTGTGCACCCGTAAGTTTGTTTTCTTTGGTGGAGAGTGGCTGTGTATCCCGGGTTCGTGAACTCACGGCCCTGCTTGCTCAGGTGCTGCAGTTGCAGGTGTGTTCTTCCCACAGGGAGATGCACTTACTCTTCACATGTCTTGATTTACGCTATTGTGTATGGATGGTGTATGTGACTGTGGGCCTGTGTTCACCACAGTGGTATGTAGAGGCCAGAGGACAACTTGGGGGGTGGGTCTCCTTTACCTTGTGAGTTTCAGGGATTGTGTTCAGGTCAGCGGGCTTGAAAGGCAAGCAGTTTAACTGCTGAGCCATCTTGGTGACCCATTCTTACACTGTTCTTTCCTGTACTTACTCCACTAGTGTGCATTGTGATAACTAGGAAGAGGAATCCAAACCAAGGTAAAATTGAATATTTCCTACTTCCCTTTGGCATCAGCTAGCAATTCCAGTTTATTTCTGCTAACTCCCATATACATAGACAAATGACCTAAAATCTGAAGTGCCTTCAGAAATATCCAGTAGCTAGAGAAAGGAAGATTCTAACTCTGAAAGGGATAAATTAGCCCCCACACTGTTTTTTAAAGATATTTATTGATTTTTAGTTGTTTGTATTTCTATTTTATGTGTGTATGTATATGCTGAGTGTATGTACGTGTACCGTCTGTATGCAGGTGACTGTAGAGGCTGGAAGACAGTGGCAGGCTCCTGGAACTAGAGTTAGATGTGGCTGTGAGCCACCACATGGGTCCTCTGCAAGAGCGGCCATTGCTCCAGCCCCATAGCATTGTTTCTAGATGGAGAATCTATGGGTTTTGCCATGTTTCTTCTGTATATAGTAGTGTAATAGTGGATCTCTCCTGGGTAATTTAGGGATTTTCTCTTTCTTTCTCTCTTTTTTCTATGTTTTTTGAAACCAGGTCTCCCTGAGTGACCCAGGCTGGTCTTGAATCCTAGGTTCTCCTAGCTTCAGCCTCCTAAATGCTAGGATTACTACTGTGAGATTAATGACTTGAACAATATTTATTTATTTATTTATTTATTTTATTTATTTATATATTGGTTTTTCGAGACAGGGTTTCTCTGTGTAGTTTTGGTGCCTGTCCTGGATCTCATTCTGTAGACCAGGCTGGCCTCAAACTCACAGAGATGCACCTGCCTCCCTAATGCTGGATTAAAGGCCTGAGCCAACACCTGCTTTTTTTTTTTTTTCCTGTGGATACAGGGTTTCTCTGTGTAGCCCTGGCTGTCCTGAAACTTGCTTTGTAGACCAGGCTGGCCTTGATCCTTTGCCTCTGCCTCCTGAGTTCTATTATTAAATGTGTAATTAGTATTTGGAAACGAGTTAATTTTTTTTTCTCTTAATAAGGTCTCAATACAGCCCATGCTTAACTCAAACCCAGTGTGTACCGTAGTCTGACCTCCAATCCCTGACTCCTACCCCTGCTAATCCTCCTGTCTTACCCTATAGAATGCTGCTATTTCAGACAAGTACCATCATGTGCCTCGTTTTGTTTTGAGAAAAGGTCTCATGTCACCCAGGCTGGCCTCAAATTTGCTATATAGCCAAGCCTCTGATCCTCCTGCCTCCATCTCCCCAGTAAGATTTTTCTTTTTCTTTTTTTTTGAGGCAGAGTTTCTCTATGTAGCCCTGGCTGTCCTGGAGCTCACTCTGTAGACTAGGCTGGCCTCGAACTCACAGAGATCCACCTGGTTCTGCCTCCCAAGTGCTGTGATCAAAGGCGTGCGCCACCATTATCCAGCTACTTTTATTTATTTTTATTTTGTGTGTATTGCTGTTTTGCCTGCATGTATGTCTGTGTGAGGGTGTTGGATTCTGGAGTTAAAGATACTTTTGAGCTGACATGTGGGTGCTGAGAATTGAACCTGGGTCCTCTGGAAGAGTAGTCAGTGTTCTTAACAGTTGAGAGCCATCTCTCTAGCCCTGATTTAGGCAGCATTTATTTGTTTGTTTGTTTGTTATTTTTTATTTATTTGTTTTTCAAGACAGGGTTTCTCTGTTTAGTCCTTGATGTCCTGGAACTTACTTTGTAGACCAGGCTGGCCTTGAACTCAGAGATCTACCTACCTCCAGCTCCCGAGTGCCGGGATTAAAGACGTGCGCCACCACTGCCCTGCTTTGTTTTTTGTTTTTTGTTGTTGTTGCTTTTTTTTTTTTTTAACTTGTGAGTACTCTTGTCTGTCTAGAGGGCATCAGATCTCATTATAGATGATTGTGAGCCACCATATGGTATCTGGGAATTGAACTCAGGACCTCTGGAAGAGCAGCCAGTGATCTTAACCTCTGAGCCATTTCTCCAGCCTCTTATTCATTTTTTTAAAGTTAATATATATGTATGTGTCCTTGCATTAGTTTATGTGCACCACAAGCATTCAGGTGCCCTCAGAGGCCAGAGGGTGTCAGATCCCCTGGAGCTGCAGTTACAGCTGGTTGTGAGCTAACTGATGTAGGTGCTGGAATCTAGATCCTCTGTAAGAACAGTAAGCGCTCATAACCAGAGTCTTATCTCTCCAGCCTTCAAATTAGGTAATTTTGGTTTTGAGACAAGGTTTCAATATGCAGCTCTGACTGGCCTAGAACATGCTATATAGACCTGGCTGATCTCAAACTCAACATACAGAGTTCTGCCTTCCTCTGCTTCCCAAGTGTTGATACCAAAGATGTGTGCCACCTCCCATCTAAAAGCAAATATTTCCTAAATCTTGTTTACTTCAGTGTTTAATTTTTATGTGTATAAGTGTTTGGCCTGTTCTGTCTTGTACCACATATGTGCAGTGTCCATGGAATCCAGAAGAGAGTGTTGTGTCTCCTGGGAGTGGTGTTCTGGATGATAGTAAGCCACCTTGTGAGTGGTGGGAACTGAATCCAGAACCTCTGGAAGAGGCAGCTAGTGCTCTTAACCACTGAGCCATGGCTCCAGTCCCTGGCCCAAGAATTTTAGAAAACCCTTTTTTGTTTTTGTTTTGTTTTGTTTTTAGGAATTAGCATGTATCCAGTACACCTTTTAATCCGAGCATTTGGGAGGCAGAGGTAGGTGGATCTCTGAGTTTGAGGCCAGCCTGGTCTACAGAGCTAGTTCCAGGACAGCCAGGAATATACAGAGAAACTCTATCAAAAAACAAAACAACAAACAAACAAACAAAAACTAACAAATAAAAAAAGAACTAGCATGTGGCATCGTGTGCGTTCTCTGTGCTCTCACTCTCTGCCCCAGCTCCTCCCCCACAAATGTCCTAAGGCTTCATGCATGCTAGGCAAGCACTCTACTACTGAGCTATATTTTCATCCCTGTACTACTGCAAAATACTTAGGTGACTATTTCAGCAAATAGCCTGTTTCTAGCAGTCAGTACAAGACATTTAACCACCAGCACAGTGGCAGTCCTCCTCTGAGAGTCCTCCTTTCCTTAGTATATCATATTAGGCTTGTCATTTTCTACCTCCTCGGCTGTGGTGTTAAGATCTATAACGGGAAGGTGATACTGGCACTGCTTAGCTCACGGGACTCTTCTGTGAATTAAATAGGTGGTTGCTATAAAAACTCTTGGAGAATCTCAACAAGTTGAATAAAAGTCAAAAAGGATTCTGCTAAAGGAGTTGGGTTAGTTAGGAACTTGTCTTGTCTGGATGGATCTCAAGTATGTAACGGAATGAAATTGCATTTTCCAGTATCTTCCTTCAAAGAAGAAAGGTAAATTTATTAAAATTTCCAATATCCTTCATATATTGGAACATATATTCATTCACCAAAATTTTATTGATAGCTAGGACCTGAGTTTGATCCCTGGAACCCATATAAAAATGCCAGGTGTTAGCTGGGTGGTGGTGCCCCATGCCTTTAATTCCAGCAATCCGAAGCAGAGATGTAAGGAGTCTGTCTCTGTCCTGCCAGCCAGCTCCCAAATAATGACATGGAGACTTATTAATTATGAAAGCTTGGCCTTGGCTAAGGATTGTTTTTAACTAGCTCTTATGACTGAAATTAGCCCATTCCTATTAATCTATGTTCTGTCATGCACTGCCCATCCTGCTTCCTCCAAGTCTCTTGCCTTTTCTCTCACAAGCCTAGATTCCTCCTCTTCCTTTCTTTCTCTGCCCAGAAGTCCTGCCAATACCTCCAGCCTATCTATTGGCCAATAGTTAACCTTTTATTATACCAATCACAGTAATACACCTTCATACAGACTATGACTCATGTCATCTGCAACTTTTAACCACTTAGCCGTTTTGCTAGCACCTCCCCCTCCCCCCATATTCTTGAGATAGGAACTCAATCTTAGCCCAGGATAGCCTCGAACTCAGTCTGTAGTTGAGGCTGTTCTTGAACTTGAGTTAATCCTTCTGTCTCAACCTTCTGAATAATAGAATCACAGGTATGAGCCCCAACACTCGGTGGTAACAGTTAATTTTGGTGGTGTTAGGGCTTGAACTCGGGTTTTCTATACCCTGAGTAAATAAGTGCTCTACCACTAAGCTCTGTTATGTGCTTCACATTTAAACAATATTCACAAGGCAGTATTTTAATTAAGGTCAATGACATACCTATTGAAGATTCGTCTTTTTCCACCATTTCAATAGACATTTTGGTATTTGAGAATGCTGACATTTGAAGTTGAATCTGTTTTCCATTTTTGTTTGTTTGTTTGTTTTATTTTTTGAGACAGAGTTTCTCTGTGTAACAGCTCTGGCTGTCCTGAAACTCATTTTGTAGACCAGGTCCATCCGCCTGCCTCTGCCTCCCGAATGCTGGGATTAAATGCCTGCACCACCACCACCACCACCCGGCTGTTTTCTATATTTTACCCCAAGTGAACTGAAACAGTTCTTTTCCCTGTCAAGGTTTTAAACGTGTATCCCTTCCTTTGATTTGTGTCAGGGTAAACCATTGATGTAAGAGACTTGACTCCTAATCTCCGTCTGCCCTAATGCTGTTGTCATCTGGAGTAGAGACTCAGCCAGTTCCACCTGATTCCTCCATGACTGCTGTGGTACAGGAGTTATACTCTGAACTCTCAGTCAGTGTCTCCAAAGAGCTCAATGCTGAGAAGGAGCCAAGTATGATTCCAGATAGAAAACCTGGAGCCTCAAGCTCTTCTAGAAGTCAGAGTAGGGCATCACCCCTGGAGCTGCAGAGGACCCATGCAGAAGGCTGTTGTGAAGAAACCTTTGAGACCTTGGATTATGGGGGCAAGACTGGGTGGTGTGGACTAGTGGACCCCACAGCAAGAGGGCCTGTGGCTTTTGAGCTCTTGGATAGGGAAGAGAGAACCAAGAGCATGGAGCCAAAGGTCTTCAGAGATCAAGAAGACCAGGCCGAAGTTTTCCGAGACCCCTGTGAGGGAGCAAAGGAAGACCCATGCCAACATTCCACAGCTACTAAAGAAAAGATCTGCCCCAGTCAGGTAAGAAATGAGTCTTGATGCAGATCCGTTCAATGTGAGTGACGACACTGCAGATGATAAATCGCAGATTCTGACAGGTAGCCTGTGACTTAGTTTGAAACATTTTAAAAATAATTGTTTTTTATGTGTATAAGTGTTTTGTCTGTTCTGTCTTGGATCACATATGTGCATTGTCCATGGAATCCAGAAGAGGGTGTTGTGTCTCCTGGGAGTGGTGTTCTGGATGATAGTAAGCCACCTTGTGAGTGGTGGGAACTGAATCTAGGACCTCTGGAAGAGGCAGCTAGTGCTCTTAACCACTGAGCCATGGCTCCAGTCCCTGGCCCAAGAAAGCACTACTGTGCTTTCACTATTGCATGGAT